TAACCCCCCGCATCCATAAAACTTGGGATTGTTTATTTGGATAAAGAGGGGGACTTCCAAATAGTTGGGTGAACAACGTGCTACAAAATTGTATCCTGGGATTGCGGTCTTCTAAATGAATATTTAATCACTTATCGCCAGTCCTATTATATCCTTCGATTATCACCTCATGACCTTAAAGCTAAATAAAACACAAAGTGGCTTTGCTGAAAGTGGGTGAAATAGGGCGCCTAGAAAGTTCCACTCGGTTTGCTCGGTGCTTTACGTGACCTCCGAACCTCAGTTATTATACGCAGCCACTGCCACAGAATGAAGCCTGTCCAGATCTTTAAAACCAAGCATAAAGATGCGTAGTGCGAATGAACCATGTGTCTCTTCACATGGATTCCATTTGTCAACAGGGATGACTAACCAAGATTACAGAACGTGCTCATCAGAAACCTGTTAACATCGTGGAATAAACATGAACCGATTCCAAAAAGTTAAAAATATTTAGAAGAATTACAAAATCTCTTGAAGTTTATCCACACGACATTGATGACTATCTATCTGTCATTACCATTCCGGCCAAACTCTTCAGAACGTCTGGTCTACCGCTGTTACTAGGGGTAGTGATGACAACTAAACCGGACAACTAGTGACGTCTTATTATTTCCCACCGTTTATAACAGATTGTTTATCTTAACTTAAAACAAGAGTAAAACGTTTCTTATCACAGTAAATGAGAGACGATTTGATGGAACTGTGAAATACATTGACGCCCCGGGAAGAGTGTATTCTTTACAACTAAAGAGCGTAAAGCTCTCCCCGACCCCCTCCCACGCAATTCTTTTGGGAGGTGACGAAGTTACTAAACGATCAAAAATATCATATAACGTAATTTTTAGAATCGATTTATCAATAAAACACAAATTTTACTTTTCTTTCAATTGAATACCACAAATTTGTACTGAATTGACTATGGATTAAAACATTTTGTCTACAGTGGGATATCGGTTGCAAAACGTTTGGACAACTTCGAAGTTACTCAAGGGCCAGAATAGCAAAGAAACGCATTTGCTGCAGTTAAATGTTTAAAATTCTCTCCCCCATACCCCCCCCCCCCCCATACCCTGAGACGATTGATTATTTGTTTGGAATTCAGGTCAGTCACCTATAGGTAGGCTTTATTGGACCATAGTGAAGTTGCTGTATCCACGGGCTGGAATAGCAATAAAACGAGTTTACGAGATTTAAATTTTCTCCTCTCGAGTCAGTCACTTAGTAAATGAAATGAAATGGGTTTAACGTCCTACTGTTCTGCTCCTAAACTGGGCTAATGGAGACGGGCATACGCCATACAGTGTGCTATGAGGGAAATTCTGCCCGGGCAGCGGCGCTACGGCCTACTCTTATATCGAATTCCAACTGCCAAGGGATCTTTTACGTGCACGCCAATGTGTACACGGGACCTCGGTTTTTCGTACCATCCGAACGACTAGACAGCTGTCCTTGTCAGGCCCTCCGTCCTGCATCACTGACAAAGGGAAACCACGCCGGAAAATCTGGATGAACTTTCTCGGCCAATGCAGGGATCGAACACCCGACCTCCAGGCTCAGTCACTTGGATCACTTAGAAGTTGCTGTATTCGTTGGCTGGAATAGCCAAACGCGTTTGCTATATATGCAGGTGGTGGTGGGGGGGGGGCCTACATGGTAAGCCCTGTAACCCGAAATTATTCGGGCATTGTTTTACCTAAGTTTCTGCCCCCTAACATTTATCGAGCCCGTACGTTTTATATGATTTAAATGAAGAAGCCTGTCGAATTCCAACAATTTTCGTCAATTACTTTCCGATTCGTTGCCCTTGTGGTTAACTGGGAAATTACATTGAAACGAAATTTTAATAATATCCATAAAGACAAAATGTATCGACAAATCTTCCGATGAAGAGTAATGCACACAAAATTTTATTTCCCACTTCATAGGCTAACACATACCAGTTTTTATATTAATTGAAAGATAATTACTTCATTTGCAAACGAACGAAAGAAATATAGGCTATTGGTAAATCTTGGACATGTTTAGATAAGTTCATGTATGCGAAATAAATAAAATGGTGTTTAACACCCTGCTGTTCTGCTCCGACTGGGCTACAGTGTGATATGAAGAAAAATCTTCCCCGACAGCGGCGCTATACGGCTATACTCTTATATCGACTTCCAACTGCCAAGGGGTCTTTTACGTGCACGCCAATGTGTACACTGGACCTCAATTTTCCGTCCCATCCGAACGACTAGACAGCTGTCATTGGCAGGCCCTCCGTCCTGCACCACTGACAAGGCGAAACGACGTCGGAAAATCCCGATGAACTTCCTTGGCATGCGAAGATGACAATTTCTACATAATTACATGCAGGCAGTGTAATATCATTGGTTCATCGGGAATTTTAAAAAAAAAATCAATAAATCGAATGTACTAAGGATGAATATTCAACAAAACTAAAATAACGGATTGCGTTAAAGATAAGGTCCACATTATTTGATTTGGGGATTTTGCAATCTCAATAATCCAGTGTCTACAGTGACATTCGGAAATTTATTTCGCAAACTAAATCGCATTATTTACCAATACATGTGGTTGCATATCACACAAACCAAATATTTATCTTAACACAATTAATGGAACTCATTAGGCGCCTGATTACACATGCAACAATATCCGTGACATCATCACACATATCGCTGACATCATGTGGTTGTTATTACGCAGTGCGCAATGGGGTTATAATGGTAGTAACAAGTCGAGCCCCGTGTCAATGTCTAGAATTTATTTTTCTATTAATTTGGCAGTGTATAGATGGGCTAGTGAATGTTTACCACATGTTTTAATAGATTGCCAAACTAGCGACACAACCTATAAGATGTTTCAATGGTGTAATTGAAATAATACAACTGATTAGGATACAGACCTCATTAACCGATCATTTGGATTAGATTTAAACCAATAAAATGAAAGTAGAGTTATATTGAATTTGTTGACTTGTTTCATATGTTATCTATAACAGACATGTCAACTCCACTACATTGACACTTTAATTTAACAATTATGTCGATAAGGTGGAGAAAGACTCAAATTATTCATGGATGTCTAATAAACAGTAAGAAATAACGCCCCCATGCGCGCCAAACGGACAATTATTATTTTGCTGACGATTTATCCCTGGCATATTTTCAAATATAAATTTTAAAGAAAAATACCGTTTTGTCTATCAGATTCAGACGCAGCATTTTTCTAACAGATGCAGATTTAATATAATGAAATAGTGCTATGATTTTATTGCTCAAAAATAAAACAATTTAATATAGAATTTGAAGTAACATTGTTCGTGTCCTCTTATCATACTTTAGCCAAAGGCTTACTTCAGGTAACTTGCCACATACGCGTTTTATTTGTTTGATAATTAGAATTATAATATTGGTCCGTAAATATTTCAAATATCAAACATGTGTTATTTTATTTAAAAGGCTGTATAAGAATAGTCGGGCTTCGAAATTATTTTTTAATTTTATTATATTGTGTGAATAAAGTTATGGGAATGCAATCAATTGTAACACTATATAATGTTAGAATTATACATGGCCGCAACTTCCGTTGGAATTGATCGATTTCAATAAATTATTGAACTAATGTTATATCATATTTGACTTGCATTCAGACACATTAAATTATTTCCAAGTCCCTCAATTTTATTGATAAATCTTGTGTGTGTGTGTGTGTGTGTGTGCGTGTGCGTGTGTGAGAGAGAGATAGAGGAAGAGTTTAACGTCCATTCCACACAAACTAGGATATTTCAGGACTAACATATGGTTCAATTTTATTTCAATAATTCGCTTGCGCGTAGGGATCTTTAGCCGTGGGAGGAAGCCGGAGGACCCGGAGAAACCCCACGAGGCTGGATAGGCGACGCTACTCCTTGTCACATTCAACCGGGGAATCGAAACCACGTCAGTTAACTCAATAACAGACCTTATGATACAGCGCACACGCGCTAACCATTCGGCCATCCAACCCCCGACAAATCTTGTACTTGATAATAAAATATCTACTCGAGTAAGCAGATATCAGCCTTTATACTTGCTGTTTGACAAATTCAACGCACCCCCGATATGCATTCCTACATTCATTGTGTGAAATAGCTTTATGTAACATCCGCTTCCACCAAAGTGATATCGCCGACAATTCCTAAACAAAAGTACGACGCGGTACAAAATATAAAAGACGCAAAAATCTATAGAGTAATATAAACAGTTAACTTACAAGAAACCCGAATAAAATATCTACTTCTTTCACGAACTCGTTTTACAAATTTGTTTAAAGATAATATTGTAGGATTTCCTATCTTAAAACAGTTAATTTTCACCGCATTGTTTATTTCAAACAGGAAAAAAGACACCGTGATATCTGGAGTTTTGGTACTTGATAAATCTAGCTTGACGTTTAATATATACAAACTAAGATGTCAGAGCACCTGAAGATGTCAGACCTGGTAGAGAGCACCGAAAGATGACCGCTACCTCTCGTGAAATCTCGTCATGATAACGTGATAATTACATGTGAATTGATAGGTTTTTCTTTCATAAAACTCTCTAACGGCACTTTCTCGACCAATCACAGCGTCTCATTATCATAACAATTTGTGTTAAATCTTGTGGGGTCGACCATTAAACTATTTCAAGAAATGGGGGGTTTAGGTTTCGAAATAAAATTGTTAGTGACTGTAACAGTCTTTAGAAATGAACAATTATTTTGCAAAGTTACAATGAATGTGTATTTTAATAAATATATAACGTCGAAATTTGAACCAAATAAAAATCTGACACTTCGACAATTCCGAAGCCACTTACCACCCCTGAAGAAATCTGGACGCATCCAATATATCACATTATGATGTTACACGTGTGTATAAGAATTGGTTAAAATATTTAGCAGTTTTATCCAACTTCTTGTAAATGCTATGATACTTTCATAGCACGTGCTGACCTTCATGTGGATACGGCAGTTTGAAGAAAAAAATAATTCCGGATTAAGTTTTAGAAAGATTTTGATAATTCGGACATTAGAATGAAGTTGTCAAATGAAAATGTATTTTAAACCTGTGATCGTTTAAAATTCCGGACTGTTGGAGAAATTCAAAGGACGTTTATTCCCCGACTTATCCGAACACGTGGATTTTAAGAGTGAATTAGAATTATATTTTGTGATGTATTTAAGTGGTTGTGTGGGGTGTATACCCATTCATCCTTCCCTACCCTACTGGCCTCAAGTTTCCAATTCACATACCGACATGGTGGTGTTTAAAAAAGGGCAGTCGGTCGAAGTTACGGAACTTTTACAAAGAAACGGACACTCGGGATATTCCGCTGTGTACAACCCAAGGAATGTGAACCACAGTCGATCCCCACCCCCTTCAGGACTAGCTCCACTCCGGGCTCTATGTGCTACAGATATGGATGTGTACACGTCACGTGGATCACAGAAAACAGACGAATCGACCACAAACAGTAAACAATTAAAATTTGGAATAAACCGAATTTTATCAGAAGATTTTGGAAAAGAAAAAAATGAAAAGGGTAGGTTGTTTTAAAGTGATAACTGTTTCATTAATATTTGTTCCATTTCCACGAATTTTATGACATTCTCAGAATGTATTTAAATTTGTCCTCTTCATCTGAACAATATTCATTTTCCTTTTCAACTTTTATTAGACGTGATGTTTAATATCATTCAGAAAGTACAAATACATTGGATGTGCTCGAAAAAAAAAAACCCAAACAAACATTTTCAGCAATTTTTAATTAAATGTGTGTAATTTTGATAACCTCGGGTCGAAATCACCGAGATCGTTTATTATTTAAATTATTTAAGTAATTTTAGACTGTTTGATTTATACAGAAATGATTGATAGGTATGTTAGATGTGTAATAAAAATATACAAACAGAATTAACAGTTATATTATATCATAATTACCATAATTATGCGCGCACACACACAAGTAGTAAGTACTGTATTTGTATGTGTTTATCGTATAATCATTTAGAATATAACGATTAAAATATTCTCAATATTTAATATTTTGATCTATAATTATTTAGAATATAATGAATAAAATATTCTCAATATTTAATATTTTGATTAAATATTTAATATCGATAATCGTATGTGAAGCAAGCTGAACTATTCCGACGGCCAGGGAACACAAATTCTATAATAGTGATAATAATATCTGCCTTTAAAACTATTTGAAATAAACACTTTGAACAGCAATTTCCTTATTTTAAATAATACTTACAAATCAGAAAGTCGAATACTTAACTAATTTAAATAATACTTCAAAGTCGAATACAAAATATTATCTCTGCTCCCCCATCCATAATTCCATATTCTATAAATTCAAGTTTAATACTAAAGAATAATATTATCGTGCTATATAAATTATAATTAACACATTAGTATTTTCTCACAAAGGATTAGAAAAAAAACATGGTTTGTAATTCAATGTCTCCTATAACAATTGAACATATTAAAATATTCATAAAAAAATATTAATTTCAGAAATTGGAAAATTATTCGCTATTATTTTTAAGGAAATTATTTTAAACCCAAATAAAAGCATACAAAATTTAAGCTAAATTAATGCTTAAACATTTTTTGTTCTTTTAACTAATATTAAATATACATTTTGCACAGCAAAATCAGGCCTTACTACAAATTTACTAAAATCATCTTTAACAGAAATACCGTTTCTGATTACAAATTTTAAATCGAAAATGCAATTACAAAAGAATGAAATGGACAGTTTTTTAGGGTTCAGACGAGTATAAAATTATTTTCTTATCTGGCATTTTTCAACTTGACAAATATTTCCGGAGACACGTGTCAGCACGTGGTTTAATAAGTACAAAAAACTTTAGCTACTTAATAAACATAATTCTTATAATATCATTCCCTATTTATGTTGTGACATAACTATTCTTAATACTTTCATTGAAACAAAATTATAATTGATAGTCGACACCTTTTGATGTTTGAAATAAGAAACATTCTTTAATGTCATTCCTTTACTGTCAACGAGAATGGATATTTCTTGAAATCACAACAAAACAAGTACTTAAAACTATCAATTATTTGATCGAATCAGTATTAAAAATAAAAGTCATATACACCGCTTGTTCATAATATTCTAATTTATTTGTAATCTGGAATCTGTTAGTATTTAAGGAAGTGTCCTGCATTATTTTTTAATACAAATGTTCGTCACTGAAGACTGAATTATTTTATACATGTAAATGAGAAAATAGTCATACTACAGACTCTCTTTTCACTATTTTTTGTTCAATTTGAAACTCCTAAATATTATATAAACTATACCCATTTCAGCTTTATAAATATCTTTATTCCGATAAAAAAAAAATATCAATGTTTTATGTTTATTTCTTTTTAAATTTCAGATATCACCCCAAAAGTCTTTAGTTCTAACCATAGCAGAAGATTTTCTCGTATGACGCCAAACTGTCCGTGCACAACGTCAGAATGTTCATCATTGAGTCACCTTTATTCCTCTCTATCTTCCGTCCATTCTATTCATCCAGCTATTTATCATTATAACAACGGTGCTGATTTACTGCCAGGTAAGTTTAAAAAAATTATAGAACTCTTCTAGGCAACTGCCTTTAAATATCCAATTAGTTGTTTTGAATGAAATGGGGTTTAACGTCCTACTTATCACCACACTGTGCTATGAGGGAAATTTTGCCCCGACAGCAATAATGAATTCCAACTGTCAAGACTCGTTTACGTGCACGCCGAGGTGTAGGTACGGGACCCCGGTATTTGCGTCCCATCCAAACGACTAGACACTGTTCCTTCCCAGACCCCCAATCGCACCCTGCACCATTGACATTAGGGAAACTACGTCAATTGTTTTTTTACACTTTGGTCCGTATACACTTCTCCAAATTTAACTAAAGTAATACGTCAACTGTCGATTTCGAATTTCTCATTTTTGACGCTTCCTGGTAGTTTGTATAAGAAATAAAAGATCTACATTTACATGTAGTTATTACGTGTAATGTATTTATTTCCAATCTGATTATTGACTTTAGATAAAACAAGAGCAGGTGAATATGGATCTATGGCATTATTAACGTGAGAGAGAGGTAGAGAGAGAGAGAGAGAGAGAGAGAGCGAGAGAGAGAGATGGGGTTTAACGTCCACTCGACACAAACTAGGTCATTTCGGGACTAAAATATGGGTTTAATTTTATTTTTGAATAATTTGCTTGCGCGTAGGGGTCTTCAGCAGTGGGAGGAAACCGGCGGACCCGGAGAAAACCCACGAGGTTGGACAGGCGACTCTACTTCTTGCCACGTACAACCGGGGATTCGAACCCACGCCAGTTGACTCAATGACAGGCCTTAGGATACAGCGCGCGCGTGCTAACCATTCGCCCCCCCCCCTCCATTATTAACGTAAATAAATTCCAAGAAACAAAGTAGTTATACAAATGTAGTAGAAATTAGTTTATTATATCTTGTCATTTTACAAAGAATAATATTAATATATTTAGTTTTCCTATATAAAACAACTTCAATAAATACTAACTTCAATGTCTAGTCACTCGTCACTGAATGGTATATGCAATAAAAGGTTGAATATCTTCTGCTCGTCATACCCTTATCTGTCTCATAGACTTGGCCCTCATAATACGCCCACCAACATCTTCCATGCAAGCCTTGAAATCATTGCATCGCACAGACAAAGCTTTCATAAAAAATTCACAACAAAATCTATTCCAAGTTTTAAAGGTAAATAAATGTGTATGGAAAGATAGCGAACAGAGTTCGAAATTTCATAGGGTTTTGCCTTATGGCCCAATAAATGATCTTAAAATTTCGGGCCGAGAACTATGTTTTGTAATACAGATTTATTAAAGTTGAATTTAACAGGAGGATAACTAGATTTGAGCTCGAAAAAATAATCTCCGAATTTTAATAGGGTACATCGTTAGGCCCAAATGAATAAGCCTATATACAAAGTTTTCTAATTAAAATTGAAATTTTTGTCTGTCAAGCTTTTAAAGCCAAAATATGATTTCATAAGGATATAATTTCGAAATGGGTTTTTTTTCATTATAACCAAATGAAGCATCCCTGCAAGTTTAAATAGAGTAAAATGATCCGAAAAGAAGTATTGACTAGAAATTGTGAACCGAATGCGGTTACGACAATATACGTCCAATTAAAAGACGCTGTAAAATATATATATTCGTTAGCATCGCCCCAACTCCCACCCACATATAACAAGACAATTTATCGATGTGGCTTATAGACTTTTATCGAATCCCCCCCCCCCCTCTAACGTAAACAAATATAGCTCGAATACTGACAAAATGCGGTGTGAATGAATAAAGCAGTACCCAGAGGTTGTTATATCTTTGGATTTCCGAGACCTTTCTTCGCCAGAGACCTTTAGCCAAGTGATGATAGATACAAATTTTCTTCACAATCTCTACCTTTAAAAAATATTCCCCTTCCGGATATGTGTTATATCTGTCAAACGTTATTTAGATAATAAAAAAATAATTCACATGTAAAATATTGACATAATAAAAATATAATTTACTTTAGATCATTATAAAGATAAGAATAATATCACTTTTAGTATATAAATATTTCTATATGTTTCGTATCAAAGTTGACTTATGAAGTTTAAATTCAGTTTTATTTACATGTACAATCATATTCATCTATTTGGGTGTAAAAACCACAACAATCATTTTCGTCGAACAGAACTACCACTCAATGAATGTATGAATGGGATGGGGTTTAACGTCCATACAGTGTGCTTGGGGGAAATTGAATTCCAACTGCCAATGGTTGTTTTACGTACCCGCTAAGATGTACTCGGGACCTCGGTTTTTTAAAGTTACGACGGGGCAAATGTCTTTACGAAATAATAATGTTATGCAAAAGATATTATTCAGCCTTTGCAATCTGATGATATGGTAACAGAAAAAAAAAAAATCGTTATAGTGTTGAGGGCGGTAGAAAGCTTTATATCCTATGCGTTATTTCAAACTGTCAATTTTCGCTGAAATCTTTTGATGGGCCTATTTTTAATCCTATCCAATCCAAGCCGAGTGATTTTTTTACTGTTGATATTTTTCTGAACTATTGTTTAAAAAAAAAAGACAAAAAACATTGAATATTTAAGCGTGGATTTAAATGTGAAAATTAAGTATTGTCCAAAAAATGCAAAAGATGATCAGCGACTTTAAAGATGCATTATGTAAGATTTAGATAAAAAAAAGCTGACAGCTCTCGCTATAATAGTTAAACAATAGATAATGAAAAGGGAGTATGTTGAAACTTTCAGTCCAATTACTTTAGTCTGTACGGACTTATGGTCGTTAGAAAAACACTGTAGTCTCGATTGTCATTGCTACCGTTGTTACGATAATAAACAAATACTCGATTATTCATTTTTTAAATTAAATCATTACTAGCAATCGAGTTTAATTCCGTTAAAATCAAAAGCATCCGATGTTCTAGAGCGTTGATTATGGGCTTAGTATGTGAATAAATGTCTAATTAATTATCTATATAACAATAACATTTGAGGCCAAACGACGGATCTGCATTAGAAAAATTTAGCTCTTACATAATGCATCTTTAAATATTTCTCAAGATCTGTTGCTTATCCTGACAAACGAAGACGATAATCGTAAACTGAAAGTTGTATAATTAAAAAAGGCGCGGTAATAAACACACAGTTCGTGCATTACCGACTGCACGTATTTCCTATTCTATAAAGATATAGACATGTATCTTAACTTACTTATAGTATATACAAAATAACGCACAGTTGCAAATACATCAAAGAACGCCGACATAATACCTACCGCAATTTAACACAACTCACCCCCGCCAGTTTCTTACTTCATTAAATGAATATTTACGATGTCGTCTTCACCATTTCTCGGCAATTATTCCCGCCTCTATGGTAATAATTAGCCCATCTTGTCTGTAAAAGAGAGAAAAATAAAGAGATTTATTTACAAAATGTAAGAAGTATCTTGATTTATATATTATATCAACTGGGTAGATTAGTTAATAGAATTATATACAGCATGTAATTACTCTAATTTTTATACTTGATTGATACACAATGAGACATTTATAGTATGTATCCTCACACTGGCATACAGCTTCGACTGGTGAATGTTAATCGCAGAGTTTAATTACGTTACCAACAAATTTAATAACATTTACTATACAACACAATGACAGTATGTACTTAAAGTCATTAGATTGGGTCAACAATTACACCTGTATTATAACTCAAAATGTAAATTAAATATGAAAACAAGCAAATGTGGTATATTATACCCACACCTACGTTTCGTGTACAAAAGTCATTTTGTAGGAACGTGGGGGTAGGACATTTTTAAAGCTTCAATTCCCTTCTATTTACCCAATTAAGAGCCCTTAACCATCGTGTACGATACCCATTCTTTAAATAAAATAATTCTGGGGGTACTCGAATTGTAAAGAAACTTTATTGCAGAGCAAAAGTCTCAAGTTCATCTATGTGAGATAAAAATGAAAAACAGATATACTATGACAAAACCGAGGACATTATCAAAATTACACGACACCATAGTCTAATTTATATAGTCAGACACTACATGAAAAGTGTCCAAAACATTTCAATGCTTCCACATAATATTTCCTGAATAAAATAAAATAAAACAAATTTCAATATTGATTTAAATAGAGAAATCTCTGACGGTAACACATGATAATACTAAAGCTAGAAACCTGATATCTACTTTATAGGACTCCAGTCCTAATCTTAGGATAGTGTTATGGGATTTATCTGTAAGTAAGTAATTAAATTAAAGTGTTGAGTAGATAAATCCACAGGGGGATAATATGTATAGTATACCACGTTCAAATCATTAGCTCTCACGTGCTAAATGTGAGTGTCAATGATAGCTGCGAGTTATTCCCTCCTGAGTGGACGGCATAGGCTAATAGAAGCCTTAACCTATTACACGTCGTCAATCAGCATCTTTTTATATTAGTTACTGACTATACTTTTAAAAAAATACATCAGTGCTTTTCGATAATTAAAATTTACCAAAAAATAAAAAATAAAAAAAATACTTGAATGATAAGACTGGCTTATTTGTGGAAAAAAAGTAGGAACATTGAATTCTTGTCGCGTGGTCATACTCATACGGCAGTTGAATGGCCGAATGGTTAGCGCTTGCGCGTTGTATCATAAGATCTGCCATTGAGTCAACTGGCGTGGTTGTACGTGACAAGGAGTAGGGTCGCCTGTCCAACCTTGTGGGTTTTATCCGAGTCCTCCGGGTTCCTCCCACTGCTAAAGACCCCTACGCGCAAGCCAATTAATGAAATAAAATTGAACCATTAAGTCCTGAAATGACCTAGTTTGTGTCTCGAATGGACGCTAAACCCAATTTCTCACTCCCGCGTGGTCATAATATAATATCGAGCTCCATGGGTCTGGAGGTCGCATTACTATCATCCAAATATTTGAAAATTATACGCACCGTTTACAGTGTTTAAAGGAGCTAAATCGCTAATATTTTGGATCTAGAAATTGACACAAATAGGTCGCAATGCATATAATAATGTAACGTAAATATATATAAACTGATTTACATTCAATCGTTTCTGTTTTTACTGCAATTTCTAATCAGTTATGTTTGGCGAAATACGCCAGAAATCTCAATCGAAAGGCAATCTCTAGCGTCTGGTTATTCCACTCTATACCGATAGTATTTATTGCGCATGCTCTCCAGATAAGAATATGTCGTCACCGTTTGACAATGACTTGTGGAATATATCTAGCCTCTTTCTACGAGTCCCTTGTTAAAAATGTACCAACGCTAAAATGTTTATTTTGTCTTAATTAATGGATATCAGAAGCCCATCTTTTCACCATCAATGTTGATTTAAATTGACAAATAATTCGTGTTTTCAATGTCGAAGATTTTGAATGATATTGAGTTAGAGACTTAGCTACTTTAAACGATTGTTTAATATTATTGTCCATGGTCACCGTTTCGATTTTAATAAGACTTTTATTGTCCAAGATCAGTTTGTCGCAGCTTGTAAAATACTATATTGTGAAGACAAAAAAATATCTGAATATATTTGAAATTTACATACGTGTGTATAATAATAATGAGACAAAGGTGCCTATCCACTTTTAATCATTTCTGATAGTTATTGCCCGAGCTTTTGTCCCGATAGCTTTACAGAATCTGGTTAACGATCAAGAGGGTTTTACATTGGTTACATTAATAACGTAAACAAAGAAAGACAATTAATAAAAACTCGCTCCGAATTTGAACGATTATTGTCGTTTTGTAGCGAGGACAATGACTTTCATTGGGTTGGTATTTAACATTGTTCTATTTCATACTTTTATTCTAGCATAAGTCATGCGTGAATTTCTTATTATTCCTGTAATTTCAGGTCCTTATTCCATACTCAGTACAGAGACACATAGTCCAAACCAACCTAAGAGAAAGAGAAGTTGGTCTCGCGCAGTCTTCTCAAATTTACAAAGAAAGGGTCTTGAAAAACGATTTGAGGTTCAGAAATACGTAACAAAACCTGACAGACGACAGCTAGCTGCCATGTTGGGATTAACAGATGCTCAGGTTGGTAATACTGAATGCAATGTGATAATAGGTACAAATGTATTTGCAGGGGGCCCCTGGCTGAAAATTTCACGGGGGCCCGTGCATCAACATTGATAAAGGGACACACTCCGGCGCATATCCACCCCCCCACCCTAAAATCTACCAGAACACGTGACATATTTAATGGTACAAAATGTTTTTTGGGTTTAATTTGGGGGTTCCTGGCTGTAGCCCAGTCAGCACCATCTTTATTATTTGGGCCCCTCGCTGCAGCCCATTCAGCATCTCCCTTAATCTGACCCTGTTGATTGGTAAAACTTAATTTGCAGTTGTTCCAATCAGAATGCAATGTTATGATTGGTAAAACTAAATTTGCCGTTCTCCCTGTCAGAATGCAATGTTATGATTGGTTAAACTAAATTTGCCGTTCTCCCTGTCAGAATGCAATGTTATGATTGGTTAAACTAAATTTGCCGTTCTCCCTGTCAGAATGCAATGTTATGATTGGTTAAACTAAATTTGCCGTTCTCCCTGTCAGAATGCAATATGAGGATTGGTAAAACTAAATTTGCCGGAGTCCCTGAAAGAATGTAATCTGATGATGTTTGTGGGGCACTTCGTGTTTCATTATTTATTCCTTCAAGTTTCAAGACTTCGACGTGTCATTGTCTTTGTCAGACTCGCTTAGGCCTATACAACGAGTAAGGCGACATTTTTTTTAGTGTCAAATTAACAAAATAAACCTGCAAAATCTATAATATAGATCTTAGAAAATATGACGTTATTTCCAAATAAAATGCTGCAAAAGATCTCTAAGATATTTTCGATTCTTCTAAGTGATTATTGTAATAATTCTTTTTACCAAGCTGTCAACACTTCAAAACATCCACGAGGGGAACATATTTTATACAAGTTGATGTTTAAAAATGGTTGAAATTCCACCTCATTACAATAATCGGATATCCCGAGTTTTATTACTTCACGAAGAATCTGCCATAACATAAAACAAAACAATCTGAAGAAGGAAATAATCAGTTTAAATTAAACTTGACGACAGGAGAAGGTTAAAATTGAGGTGTCTAGTAGAGTGCCATATTTATTAGTTCTTGTGGAAAGGTCGTCAAGAACAGATGCCAATCTGTGTTGTCATCTAGTTCCCGTCTTTTATTATCACATCGCACCCTGTTGCGTTAACATGTTTAGATTACGGAAACAATGCACCGCCAAATCATTTTGTATTATTTATTGGATAAAAAGGCCATTATCGAGGCCCGTGACGCTCTTGTAACACTAAGGGGAATAATACCATGACGTTTTACAGTCTACCATATTTGATATGTTGTAAAAAAGCGATTCCGGATTCAATTTAGCCTTTCAGCCAATTTTCACTCTGCTCAAATATGAAACTTCTTACGCTCGATTATTCACAACCTTGGTACTACTTTGATCTTTAACATTACATCAATTATAAAAAAAAACTGTTTAAAGTTGCAGGAGGCGACATTCGTTTTCCGTACAATCCCTGTAAAAATTCTGAGATAGCAGCCACCCACCATTTTCTAATGGCAGGAATGCGCGCACCAAATGGAACTTCTTACATCTAGCACTTGCTGTCAGGTTAATTGAGTGATTCGCCGCAATGAACCCCTTGCGCAATGGTACCTCATAATTTATCACGCGCGATACGGACGAAGGTCACGGGTAAAGGTCAAACAAAGCCGAATTTATCAAAATTAAGTATATTATGTTGACATTGAGAAACGATTAGTTGTAATAAAAAGCAAAGAACAAAAATTCATTAGGTTTGATAAGGTTGGTTTCGTATAATAGCTATTTACTCAAGTATTTGCCACTGGGACTATAGAGATAACTTTTAAACGGACCACCTGGGTGGGATGCCAGTGTATTTATCATATCACTCCGTTTATAACACATTTAATCCTAAATATATAAATCACAACATGGAATTTATTTATTCTAAGATTTCCCTTTAAGTTTATTAACACAAATCTTCTTCGTTTATGAAATAAATATATTGTATATAAAGAAATTATCACAATTTTATCATTATTACCCATTTCTCATCCATCAATGATTTTATCCATTTCCTCTTTATAAGCATTTCTTTGTTTGTTTTGTTTAAAGGCCATAATTAATCAAAAAAGATGACACAATCGACAACTGACACTTAAAAGGGTGGAAAGACGAAAATAACTGTATCTTGACGTTAGCGGTGCGGTGCACATGGCAAATTTGCATAGTTCTCGAATCTTGATAAATTTACTTGCCGAACAGGGACAGACTGGGGGAAAGGGTGTTTGTCCATCCCAAGGGGTGAAATATTTTGAAAAACTGACTGTAAATGATGATTTCTAGAGTATATCCTGTAAATTCAAGACTAGAGATAAAGATAAACATACGCCCACAACAGCTAAGTGATCAAGGGTCATAACACTGGCAGTCATTATCGGAAATCGTTGAAAATCAATAGGCGACTTCGCTTCATGGCCATAAACATTATGTAAAACTGAATCAGTTGTGGACGCTGGACCGATGACAATATACGACCACATTTCCAATTGGGAGTATAAAAAGCCCCCCCCCCCCAACAAAAAACCCACATTAGGGGGCCCCGAGCTAACCATACTCAGAGGTTCCTCGGACCATCCCTGTTGCGGAAGAAAATGAGAAATTTCACTGTAAGGCTGGGGTTTATACTATGCAATTCGATAACTGTAGGGAATCCGATTCTTTGCAGTAGACTAATTTTAATTCATCATATTTTGTTTTACATTTCAGGTGAAAGTATGGTTTCAAAACCGGCGTATGAAGTGGAGACATGCGCAACAACAAAAGGAAAAGGGTGATGAAAATAGTGCGACCGAAGATGATGACAAAGTGGCGGATATGACGCAATCCGATGAAGATATCAATGTGACGGAAGATATCTCTGACGTCGATTCTGATGTAGACGAAGAGGAAACGGAAGACAGTTCTTGTTTGGACCAAGGCGTAGATCTATCGACAAGTGAAATGAAAGAAAGAACAGTGGCTATTGACAAATAACAAATTTATATCTTTTATGTATTATTGTTAGTAGTAATGGACACCCAAGTGTTATGGTTATAACTTCAGATCAGACCAACAACAAAACATGAATTGAGTTTTGAATCATATTTGGTATGTAAACCTCAGCTGCCCCCCCCCCCCCATGACAATGTTTAAATGCAAATGACGGGGTAAAGAATTATTGTAAAACACGACTGACATTTACTGTAGGTATATTGACAACATATGGATATATCTTATGCGGCTAATAAAATGAGTTTCCATCAGTTATTAAATGATATATTCGGATATTAATGTAAATATTTGTATATTTTGTGTAATATATTAACTAAAATAATAAATCTATTAATGTAATTCATGGTTACAATGCAATAGTTTACAGCAAACACTTAAACTCGCGCAGAAAACTTAGAAGACGAAATGAAAGGATATAATCCTTTAGTGCCATTTAGCGATTGAGCACAATAAAATAAAAAATACAATTTTCAGAAAAGAAAACAATCACTCGTTTATACACGTCATGCTATGTATTTACAAATCAGTGATTGTTTTCCATATAAATTGTGTTGTGTTCATATTTCTTTAATTATGAGGATTTGGGATATTACTTTATCAATCAAGGGCTTGCATTATTTTGATTTCGCATTGAAGAGCAAGAATCGTTGGTGTGCGCTAACCCACGACTTTAGTTCCGGCTGCGATCTTTTTTTTATAGCTGGTACGGTCTGCGTATATAGGAGGGTTGGATGGCTGAATGGTTAGCGTGCGCGCGCTGTATCATAAAGTCTGTCATTGAGTCGACTGGCGTGGTTTCGAATCCCCGGTTGTACGTGACAAGGAGTAGGGTCGCATGTCCAACCTCGTGGTTTTTCTCCGGGTCCTCCGGTTTCCTCCCACTGCTAAAGACCCCTACGCGCAAGCGAATTATTGAAATAAAATTAAACCATATGTTAGTCCCGAAATGACCTAGTTTGTGTCGAGTGGACGTTAAACCCCATTTCTCTCTCTCTCTCTCTCTCTCTGCGTATATAGACAATGGGAGGGGATGTCACAAGGTAGGGTAGGTAAGTTAATGGACCCAGTGTCTCCGCACGCCCATACGCTACTTGGTCTTCGATTTATAGTTAGCTAGGATAATATAATCTAGTTTTTATAGTCAACCCAAACAGCTGACTTCGCTTTTCCTAGATTTAAAGGTCGTGTTTGAAAATAATTAATCACACAAAAGATCAAAGACATAAAGGCCATTTGGTGCTGACGACGTTCGCAAATGTGGGTATAACCCTCTAAGAGCCTACCCAACTCACCAACCGGGGTACATCCCTAAAGGTATCTATTGTAAATTGGGCGGGGCGGAGAGGTTATCGGATGGGGTACACTCTAAACACGCGGACGCCTATGGACGCCTATACAGAACGCTGAAATGAAACCGATTTTGAACGCGTTCAACAGGAAGAGTGTACAGATTTATACGTCTGACGTTCATCACAGAACACATAATGTTCACAAAGTGTTCAGTTTCATTGTACTTGATTAGCTGCTACAGAAGTACAATGAACGAAAGAAAAATAATTTTCATCTTACAACTGGGCAAAAAAAAGAAAAATAAACATATGAATTTGAAGGTTTTTATTTACGTTCTGCCATTGTTTCATTATTTTTTTTTTGAAGAAATTTAGATTTTTGGTTTGTTGATATTTGAGTGGGCTCTTCCATAATTACTTCATGTAATATACCCAATATTGGCGAATAATTTTGGGGGTAATTTATATCAAATATATAATACGAAAACAGTAATTTCAATAATGACTCCCCAAAACACCCCCCTTCACAATACAATTTATTTTGCAACTGTCGTCGCAAATAAATATTCCACATATTGAATTTTCAGTTCCAAGTACTTTTAAATAAAGAGGTTCTCCAGCTTTTGTTGAAATTGACCCCTGAACATCTGAGGTGTCATAATCCTGAAATTTGAAAAAAAGTAAGCCTTTAAATAAAAACATACTGCATGCTGTCGCGCTAAGTGGACAATGGCGCTCTGACATGAGGTACGTTTCAACAATGATTTTCTTGTAGGATACAAGAGTATTAATTATTGTTGAAACGTACATCGTCCGAACTGAGACAGTTTTTAAAGGAACTAGTAGAATCGCAGCTTAGTTATCAGTAATTGACTTGCATAATAAATTGTGGAGGTTTTATGCGGATCAGTTATTCTCAAAACCGGAATTATATTTAGATGGGTTGGAGGAAAATGGAGCCAATGACCACGATCCCCACCCCACTACCAGAGGAGTCCCCACTATACAAAAATATAATAAAGTTTAAAAACTGAGAACCAATGTTTTAAGCTCACATCACAGTGGTGTTCTTGAATAAACTAGTTTCTGTTTGAAAAGTTATATTTTCTACTTTTAATATTGACTGGGCCGGCAGTGCTCTGGGCCCTCAAGGTCTATTATCTACGCCCCCCCCCCCTCACCATTTCGTTTTATCTCATTTCTAACTGGCGGGAATTTCTACCTATGTGAAGGTAAGCTGTCCTCGAACTTTAGTTCGAAAAGGCAAAGAATCCTTGGAATAATCCAGCAACCACGAAAGCGTTTGGATCTCAATGATTTGTCATATGACAAAATTAATTCCCTCCCAAACCCCAATTCATTCCATTCTCCATTTCTATTGTATGACGTGTCCACCGCACTACATGTAAAATGACAATCTCCGACCCGCAGTACTATACAAGCAGTAACTTCAAATACACGTACTGTAGGTGAAAATAATTATGTCAAAAAAACATCAAAAATAGAATAAACTTACATCTATTACTTCTACTATTGATTCCTTTATTGACTTTCCGTCTAGCTATCTCTCTCTGAAAAATATATTCGAAATATTACTGTTAATAATACTTCAAACGAAAACAAGGTGTCATCAAATCAGTAAGAAAAAGAAATATTCAGTGAACCTAAACTCTATGTTGTCAACTATTTTTAATACCAGTATTCAGATACAGATCCTGTGATTTAGAAGTTTATTAATACTATTGGATGCGGATTACCAAATTAATTTGCTCGTCTAAATATTTCAATCATGTCGATATCTGTAAACATTAATAATACATACATTACCGTCCTTTCCCATTATTAATTCGGCTACTATAAGTAATTTTTTCATCCTTTCAGCCACCCGTTCGACTTTGGTGACGCCAAAGCAAAGAGCAGGAACATCTGATACAGTATCTACAACAAGTCAAAAGGAAATCTATTAATATAAAAAGAACATCCTTGTGGACAGTTAAATTCTCAAATGACAATGACGGTGCGGTTATTTTAATGGTTTCGTATGGGCCGTGGACTCGAATGAGATGTATAGATACCGATAGTAAATAGAGGGAAGGGAGCCGCGGTGGCTTAGTCGGTAGGAGCCGGAGATGGGTAGAACTGGGGTTTAACGTCTACTCGACACACACTATGTTTTTCGGGACTAACATGGTTCATTTTCATTTCAATAATTTGCTTGTGTGCAGGGTTCTTTAGCAGTGTTAGGAAATCGGTGAAAACCCACGAGATTGGAGGGAGAGCCCACTCCTTGTCACGTAGAAATCCGGAATACCCGGAGAAAGCCAACTCATTGTCTAAGTGACAGACCCTATGATGTGAAAAAGCAAAATTTTCAAAATCATTTATCCTTCCCGTCTACACAGCGAAATGTTGTCATACATTTAACATTTAGTTAATCATAGTTTAATCAACCTTCAAATAAGATGAGTACAGACAGCTAAGACTATGCAGGGCCCCGATAGCCTGGTAATGTACTGATTCGCCAATTCCTGACACCATTCTGTAATAATGATAGGCTGTTCGCTTACTAGTGGTCTCCATATCTTCTCCATCACATCTCTGTGGTCGGTGACAATTGAACTATAATTTGGCATTCGATTAGTAAATATTTGTTCGTAACTCTCTGAAAACAAAAGTTCCAAAACAGGGATTAATGATATATCGTTACATTAACGAATACCAAAATACATGCACGATAAGCTAATTATCATTCAATAGTATAACTTTTAATTTTACAAGTTAATAACTTGAATTTATAAGCTAGCAACTTAATTCCAGTTATTGTCTTGAAAACTCAAGTTATTATCATGAAATTTCAAATTAGTTAAATGATCTGATCACGAATTTTCATATTACCAGTTTGAATTTGCAAATTGATTATTTAATAAGATCGGGGATTGTGTTGGATGCATGCCAATAAAAGCCGATATAAATATGGATATAAATAATCACCCGTGCAACGTTAGTGGTATTCATTTTATGAGTTAGTTACCTTCCTTCGAAGGTGCTGTGCCGGTTTCATTTTCTGTGTTATGGATTTCTGTGCTATCAGAAGGCTGCTCGAGAGGGGCAAATGAATATTGTTCCCCAGGTAGAAGAACCATTAGTTCGGAACTTTGCGTAAGTGCTAGTATTTCCTCAATAAGGGTGCCATCGTTTTCCAACACGACTGTAATAGGTGTATTTTCATCAATACTAAACTTCTTTAAACCTATAATTAACAGGAACAAATATTAATCGGCAATCATATCATTTGAACAAGAGCTAGTTTAGGCTTAGAATCCCTAAACCAACTTTTGGCATTATTTGAAAAAATAATTGATAAGAGAGAGAGAGAGAGAGAGAGAGAGAGAGAGAGAGAGGGGGGGGGGGTTAACGTCCACTCGACACAAACTAGGTAATTTCGGGACTAACATATGGTTTAATTAATCTTTTATTTCAATAATTCGCTTGCGCGTAGGGGTCTTTAGCAGTGGGAGGAAACTGGAGGACACGGAGAAAACCCACGAGGTTGAACAGGCGACCCTACTCCTTGTCACGTACAACCGGGGATTCGAAACCACGCCAGTTGACTCAATGACAGGCCATCCAACCCCCTGATAAGAATAGAACATTAAAAATATATATATATATATATACATGTACATGTATATCAGGGAAATATTGATATTAATCAAACTTACTCTTGTAGTTAGATTGATAGAATTTTTGCTCTTCAAATTAATGAAAGCATTACGTCTGACATTCCTGGTGGTATCCATTGTCCATGTAAGGGTGGTTTTCGACTTCATTGGGCTAATTAACCAATTAATTACGTCATATAATTATTTGACCAAACCTCAAAGCTAGAAAACTATCATATCTCTTGGGATTCGACAGACAGCCGCTAGATTCCAG